TCATTTCTATTAAAATGTGCAAACCGTCTGACGAGACACGCTCGCTAACACCGTTTTCCCTGTGAAAACAATTCTGCAGTGCACAAGCGCGTTTCCCAACACCCCGCCAATAATTAGTGTCTGCTTTCAACACACGCCAGACAACAATTGGTTCAAACATCATCCACAAAGAAACTACATAAATGACGTGATGGCTTATGTCGGCAGTTCTTGGATTTGTGGCAAGGGCCACTGCCACTACTGCAAGCAAAAATGAAAAAATAGCGGCCAAACATAATTCGCGAATGATTCTCTTAGATGCTCGACTGGGTGGCTTGAATAGCGCGTGCATGAACGGAATGATTAAAAATGTACGCACCAGCTGAAGGCCAATTGTAAATTGTTGCTGTTGTTGTAAACGCCCGAATGTTGTCACTGCCCAAACATAAATTGTTGAATAATACGAAAGAATCAATGATATACCAAATGCTCGTTTAACAGCCGGATATGACAGACTTTTTTCAAACATCAGCATCAGTACGAAAACGAACATGAACTGATGGGCGGCGTATAGCGATTCAAGCATTACTGGAGAGATAAAAGTATTAAAATTTTCTAAAGCAAACATTATAACCAAATACAGGATGTAGACCGCATTGAGAATCGCCATTACAAAAAGCACAGGTTCGTAAGCTGGCAAGATCACCCGTTTTGCTGCCTGTACGTCCCCTCGAAATGCATCTGCTCGATTCACTCTCATGTGCCATATCAATCCCACACATAGTAGCCACATAGTCACAAATCCTAAAAGCATGAAAACCAGCATTACTCGCATGTGTTGAGCCCCCTCCTCCAAAGAGCTATGATTCATTGACCCACTAGACTCCGTTGTCTCTTCCATGTTCTGAAGTAGTCTTTCTTTATTTTGAAAACCCTCTACACTTATCATAATCCCAAACGAAATTCACTGCACGACAGATTCAGATACTTTGATGGTAAGTGTCGAGTTCAGATGTGGCTCTTCAATGGCATAAATTTAAAATGGCTTGACGTTTCACCCGACACAGACCCGCCATCACAGCAACTTGACTCTGTAAGACCCACATCTAAAGTTTATGCCGCAGCCCCAACGTAACACTGTCTGGGGGGCCCGACTCATCAGCTCTCTGGTTCAGCGATGGCTATTATTATAGCCGTTGTAGTATCTCACACTACTATGTACCATACTCTTCGAATATTTTATTATACATTAAATGTATAATAAGATTTTTTGGAACTTATTTGATCAGTTAAAAATTTTGGGGATCTTTATACCCCAGATCTGTGGTGCATTTGAAGTATAAATTCTACTCCTTG